CATTGATTGCTTAGCAGCGCGTCTTTTATACGGTTTATGTTTTTTGACTTTTACTCGTCAATCTGCACTATTTATTGCCATACATACAACACATAATCACAGCTGTATTATTCATTATCACATACACCCGATTTGATACGAAATAATCAACCCGTAAATTGGTGAAAACACGGTTTTATCAGAGCTTGGCTGGAGTTGTTTACCACAGCAAGACTTAAACATAATCCCTATTTTTTGAAGCGTATTTATAGTATACCCGGGCCTTTAAACTCATTATATGACCTTTCAACTTTTATGAATATGTCACTTTTATACGGTCATGTACCTTTGGCGTCACATACTGGGTAGTAGTTTATATACACACATTTTACCAGACAGGGAATAACTACGAAGTGAAGGCGCCCAGTAAAAAACAGGTTGACGAATATGTACTTTATAAGCTTTACAATGTTACATATTGTTCTGTTTATCCGGAAACAGGGAGGAACGGTATACGAAGCTTTTTGTCATGCATGAACTATGATCATTGTGTCAACAATGTCAGTTCCAGACAATATATGAAATGCGATCTATTAAAGACACTTACTTGTTATTGTAATTAAATAGGCTATTTATTTGTGATAATTGCCATATACAAGTTTAATCAATTGAAATGTTGTGTTATTGACAGTTATATTAGCAAAGCATTCAGCCATTGACCTTACTCAATTGCACAAAGTCGACACGAGATTTCATGTCAACACAATACAGTACAGTTGTTTCAGTCTACTATTAGTACATAGTAAATATTCCCTCCGCGATTTTGATTTCTTTAGCTGCCGATTTAATAAATGTAAACAAATTAAATATTTCAAATAGTTTCGTAATTACCGCTACACATATGGTTTAAATAAGAACATTTTAAAGGGTGGTGATTGAACAAACTGTCGATCTAAAACGAATTGGTCTTTTAACCCGAGTCTAACAGCGACAGAAATGAATTTTAACTTTGGAATGAGTAAATATTGTAGATTTACTGCACATTGTTGACACATTATTTTAAGTTGAATACTTATAATTGTGTATAGTGCATCTAAAATTTCTCAACGGCAAAAAGTTGAATATTATAATTGACCTATAGAGGGCGCGTCATAACCAAAAGCGGCAAACCAATGTAGAGAGAGAAATTACCAAGGCATTTTATTTTATGAAACGTTATAGGCGCAATCCTTTTAATCTTCTCTCAATATGGTTTCCTTTGCATTTTTAACTTAAAATTCATGAAAGATTTGGTGAATGTTTTTTTGCCTTGGAAAGAAAAGGCGAATACTCAATTCTATTTAAAAACAACTCCGTAAAACACGACGGCAAAACGATCTGGACGACAAAT